CAATAGTGTCTGTCTTCATTCACATGGAAGGAATTAATACATGCAGAGAAATTACAGAGAAAGTCACTCACCCTGCCCCATCAGTCCTTCTTTCTAATGGAGACCCCTACAGCTCATTGCCTTTAACTGCAGTCTGTGATCAAGACATTGCCTGGTCTAATACCCCCTGCAATGTACACAGTGGCCCTGCCCCCTGTCTACAGGATCTGCCCCCTCCCCCTGGCTGTAGGACCTGCCCACTGTCTGCAGGCCCTACCCTACCAGGCAGAGGAGAGAGGAGGAAGGACACAGGTGGCCCCACCCCTTACTGTAGGCCCTGTTCTCCCAGGCAGAAGGGAAAGATGGAAGGTCACAGGTGACCTCACCCCTGTTTACTGGCCCCGCCCCTGCCTGCAGGCCAAGGGCACTCTTCCTCCTCCTTTGGTCTGCAGGAAGAAGCCATGCTCCACACACAAACCCTTTCCCTGTTGTGTAGTAGACAGTCCACTATGTGACTCAAACTGGTAATTTTAGAACTCTGTGGTGGTACAGATATGTAATCCAAAAATTTAGGGTGATTAGTCGGGGGATAATAAAGGCAATGCTCTCTGGGGCTACAGACAGGGTTCAAGTCCACCTCAACATACAAGTCCTTGACTCAAAGCTGCGTTTCAAAAAGACTGGAGATGCCCCTGTTCTAGAATTAATATACTTCCATGGCATGCCAGGACATAAAGTTGGTTGTGACCCTGTAATGGTCTCTTGAGCAGCATAGTAGAGGCCAGTTTTTTAATGGAAGGATGGTCCTTTTTACTGGCTGTAAATCAGGGTTGTCTCCCATGTTATGGAATGTAGCTGGTTGTAGCTGGAGTTTTCCTGGTCCTGCCTGGCCTACAGTCAGGACAAACAAGTAAACACACAGAGACTTGTATTGCTTACAAACTGTATGGCCGTGGCAAGCTTCTTGTTATCTAGTTCTTCTATCTTAAATCAACCCATTTCTACTAGTCTATACTTTGCCATGTGGCTTGTGGCTTACCAGTACCTTACATCTCACTTGTTATGGCGGCATCTGGCAGCATCTCTCTGCCTCAGCCTTCCACTTCCCAGAATTCTCTTCTCTGCTTGTCCTGCCTATACTTCCTGCCTGGCCACTGGCCAATCAGCATTTTATTTATATAGAGGAATATCCATAGCACTTCCCCTTTTCTTTTCTTTTCTTTTTTTTAAAAAAGGAATGTTTTAACGTTCACATAGTAAATTACAGATAACAAAACAATTATCAAGCAAGAATTACAGTTACAATATCTAGTCTGTTTATAATAACTGGTCTATTTGTATTTGGCAAAATTTAGAAGATATCCTATCTATCTTATATTCGTGAGTTCAAGGTTTTATATCTAATTTATCTCTTATCATAACTAAATAAAATTGTAACTATCTAGTC